AAGAAGCGCTTTTGGCAATTATGGCCTTGTGGAAGTGATGCTATTCAATGTTATAACTTTAGACATTGTTAGAAAATACAGGATTTTTCGGAATTTACAGAAAGCTACGAATTATGCCTTTTGGAAGCTATAATTCTTTTCCTATGATGCTTTTGCAACTTTAAAAATGTCTTTTGAACATACAAGGCTCCAATTTTATAAAGTTCTTTACCTTCCGCCATCAACCGTTCGATTATTCTCGTCTCGGACGTTTATGGACAGCTCGCCAGTAATCAAATCCACGAGTTCAAATTGTAAATTTACGGTAGTAACTGAAAATGTATGGGCCTTTATTCATCCAGCAAAAGGCGGAAAAAGTTATTCGCAGTTAGACTTACAACAATGCCATGTCCATTCGTAGTTAACCGTCCACCAATATTGAAGATGCATCGGGTCCCCGTACCCAAAACCGATGTTAAAAACGTCTCCGCGACACTGCTCGTAGGTTCTATTGTCCAAATCTGAAAAATGCGGGTTTTTGGGACTTGCAACGGTGCCCCAGCTACAGTACTCAGGCGGAAAAGTACATTGACGTACTGATTTCGCGCACGACAAGTGTCGGGGTGCAGCCGGGTGGGACGAAAATTGAAAAGGTATCCCCAGTAAGGAGTTGCGGGTAGAACGTATCGCTGTCCCTAAAACTGGGGAAAGTGATGCGAATTTTCAATGCTTCAAAAATTAATTTTTTGAGCCTAGAACTGGCCTAAAAGTGATGAGGGCTTTTTCAGGCTCATCCTTTACAACGGCTCCGCTATACAGGCGATATTCGCAGGTGCCTGGGCCATGCGTCTGAAAAGGAGTGATATCTTTGTCAATAGCGCAAATTACCCATTGAAAATAGAATAACTGCATCCAGAAGTCCAAATTATATCGACACATCAACACCAGTTGCGTGGCGTTTTCGGTATTTAGCGGGACGGTGAAGGTGCGGTGGTATAGTTCCACGCCGGATATCGGCGTTATTATGTAGTCTCCTAGAATTTTACTGTTGGCTGAATTGAACAACACATATTTCTGCTCTGTTCTAACAGAAACCATTAAAAACCGCTTCGCGGTTGAAGAGAAACTCCATTTTTTAAAATTAACTAAAATCTACCCGGTATCACACTTTCCATCTGCAGTAGTAGCAATAGCCAGCTTGTCTGCGTCTGGTCGTGTATCGCATAAAATTCGCCGTTTTTTATGGCAATTGTCTGTTGACAACACGACTGATTTAGCCAGGTGATAGGTGTCCTAAGAGTTTCAAAAATCCCTTCTGTCTTCTCACTGTTCCGGGCATTCGGCAAAGTTCCTTGAGCTTGGCCCATTCGCATCAAAACCCGTCTTGGTGCCAGCAACACAAAATGTGATTCGAATCCTCTGCGCATCCGGAAAACCGGCGGTACCCACGCAAATATTCGGGGTTTCTCTATAAGGGATTCCTCACAACGTCCTATTAAACTCGCAAGTCCTCAAACGAAATCTCGTTGACGGCAGCATACGGTGCGCCTGGGGTCAGCTCGTAGAAACGAGTACAGTTGTCCGCGTAGCGCTCCACGAAGTTGGTGAAAATTTCGAGGGTATAGCCCCGAGGCGCGTCGGTTGTTAGGTTTGGGTTGAAAATGGCCTGTGATGGGTAAGGGAGAGTAGAGCTTAAGGTTACCTCGAAACGGTTGGCAAGGAGGGTAAACTCGGAGCCAAGATTGTCATAATCAAGTCTGTAACGCCTAGGATCCTGGTGCCAGCAATACTTACTACCTGATGTCGCGGAAGAGAGAGCGAGATAGCAAGGGAAGAAAAGCGAGAGAGCGAGAGAGCGAGAGAGCGAGATAAAGAGAATGAAAGAGCGGGAGAAAGGTAAAAAGGGCAACCAAATGCCTGGACTTTTCCTTGTACTTCTTTGTTAGAAAACTTACGTAAAATATTCGTCACCGTCGGGGCTGTTAAGATGCAGTTGAACCGCTCCTCCCTGAATCGTCGTCAAACGAACGGTCGAGTTGAAAAAGTGTACATGATCCAGCGCACCTGAAATAAAGACACTTTAGAAACACCGCTTTCTTAACAACCCATGAAAATTTTTAATTTGTCATACTTGTGGTAATCTGATGGGATTCAAACGTGACGTCTTCATTCTCTGCAAAAATCCACGGGTATTGGAGGCTGCTGAAGAGGATGGCAGCCGACGTTTCGACCCCTATCGACGATGAATCTAAATCCGTTTTTCATGAAGGCCACTCGGACGTATTCACGGCAACCGAAGCAATGGTTTGGGCCGCAACGAAAAATGGGGGAATTTGGACCGAAAACGGGGCTATTGCTCGAAAAGAGCCCCGGAATTACATGTCGTAACTGCGGCCCCTGAGATTGCGGTGTATTTGCAATACCGTGTTCGGTGTTAAAACAAATCGATAGTTCCATCTCCAAGGCCTCCTCCCAATTTACGATCGTCAGGACCGACGAGAAAAATTGGGTATGAACGAAAATTCTGCCGTAAAAAGGTTATTATTTCCGGTGGGGATTCTTACGGTCGCTCGGCTAATAGATTTGCACTGCTCATGCCGGGATCAGAACCCGCGTAAATTTGAATGATTGGGCCAGAATCTCGAGAAACCGTTTGGTTGGCATCAACTTTCGCGCCAATTAACAAATCGGGATAAGAAGATTTGGAGATTTTTCTGGAAAAAAGGGGTCAATTTGGTCGGCATAAGGCACTAAGCTTACTTTCCCGCCAATCCGACGATCGTTATTTTGCTTCTCGGCGGGGTCATCATTAGTATTATTTTCATATAGTCATCGGTGCTTTTTTGGGGTATCAATATGTGGGTTAGCGTGTCTAGGGTTCAATCAGTGGTAAGGAACTATCCATACCTTTCACCCATTCGAGGATACGAAACGAAATGGCAAAGTCCGTGGTGCTCTTTTTGATGAAAGAGACTTCAGCTCGATTAGCCCAGCGCGTGTAATCACAGAGAAATATGTAATCAAGGTATTTCTTGTTGACTGGCCTACAAAATAATTATCTTTTGGAAGTCAGGTGATATACAGGGTGTCCCAAAAAAATTGACCCCCTCTAGCGGTCCGGAGAAAGGTCGGATCGGGATGATTTTTACACCATTCGAAAGCTCTCGGAAAGGCGGGAAAACAAGCGCTTTTCGTTTTACAAAACATTTTAATCTGCGCCCGATATTCAACGGTTTCTTAAAAAGAGTAAAATCAGCGCCGTCCTGTTTGCTTGAACAAGCAATCCAAAAATTGGCCACTTGCATGCAACTTCCGTCAGGTGTCAGTCGTACTCAAGAAGGAGGAGAGGGGCATGTGATACGTCATAGGGCGAATGGCGGAGATACGAGCACACAGAGTCAAAATCTCTATTTTCGACAAAATATGTGTAAATCCACCCCCTAGGAAACGGAGGGGAGTACAGGGAAAGAGGAACCAGGAGGGAAGGCCCGAGGGCCAAACGGATGCCCTAGACAATGCGAGAACCGAGAGCAGGGCAACGCGAAAAACGTTTAGTAGCGAAATAGTAAAACCCAAACAAGATATCGCCGCAAAACATCGTGTTCAGCATGGCGATACCCAAAGCCAGTCTTTCTGGGTGATAGACCCAGTCGGGAGGAGGTTCGTAGGGGTCGAACGGTTATGGGGGCCGATGCCCCCCAGCGCCACGCCCTGGCCAGAAGTGGCCCGACTGGGCCAGTCGAACCCAAAAACGACGATGGGAACCGCCATCCTGAACACGATGGTAATGTCTTCGAAACGGGCCTATGGAGGTCGATTTTGGAGGGTATCATATTTAGTACTAAATGTCTGCCTCCGAAATTCCTTTGGCATATAACGTGCGCTTAATTCCTTTTCCACGCATATATAAAGGAGGGGATTTGTTTCCGCTCGTCGGCCGTTATGAGTGTAAGTTATTGGTCCGGCAGGGTTGATGAGTTTAACCTAATATGCTGATTTTACATAAAATCTGTAGTTTTCATGGATTTTTGTCCTAAAGATGGGTGTCCTAAAGAACCGAAACTTAGCGAATAAAATTATTGAAAACTTATTGAAAAACGAAAAGTGCTTGTTCTCGCCTTTCCGAGAGCTTTCGATTGATACCTAAATCATCACAATCGGACATGACTGTGGCCCGCTGGACGGGGGGGGGCCGATTTTTTTGGACACCCTGTACATTATTCGTGTGCATCCGTCAACACCCAGCTGCTCGCCATTAAATGTAAATGGTAGCGGATCTTGGCACAAAACTGGTGCTGGGTCTTCTCCAACGCCTTTCTAAACAACGAATTGCTCCGTGGAAGAGAAACGCAACTTTGTTTCTGATACGTTATCCGTTCAAAATTTTTACCTCTCCACCAGTCTCATTCATACATCCCCTCACCGAATATGTCACCAAAAAGCTGCATTCCTTGTAGCCAACAATCGTAATGTTCTAAAGAGTAAAAACAAATACCCATAGAAGTTACCCCCTTAATTTTAAGTGCCGTCCCATGCAGCGCATATGACGGATTTTCGGGCGTCAACTTGAATACTTTTTGGTCGAGCGCACAAGTTGCAATTTGTAAAAACACGGTAATAAGGCATAGTCCGACCATCAGGAATTATTTTCGCCCTTTCTGGTACAGCCGGGATGCTCTGCTCTGCGGGTATGGTCGTGTTATCAAAGCTAATCCCGAGGAGTGCCAAGTGCTGTATTTACAAACATACCTTGGCGCTGATCTTAGAAGAAGCCAAGGACAAAGTACGTATCAAAAACATGCACCGTTTTTTACAGGAATTCCCGGGCACTTTTTTCGTTGTGATTGTAACCCGAAATGCTCGGGTTAAAAGGAAAAATTTATACACCTAGTCTGGCCTGATATGTACCATGAAAGACTGTCGATGATTATCACATTGCAAAGAATTACATAATGCACACAAAAGAAAGCCGATCTTTTAAAAGGAACCCGTGTGAAGAAGATGGGTTTGCACATCGCCTAAAAACTCAAGCGAGAACGCAGAATAGCTCGTTTTGCTGGCCGTAAAATGGGACGGGATTCGAGGGCCAATTTTTTACGTTCTTCTTCGATTTCGGCCTAGAATTAATTATTTAATGAACGTTAGAGAAAAAATTTACAAACCAAAGCCGTCTCGATCCGATTGTAATACCCGTGGCCTTGGATGTTGTGCATGTCGTCAACACGCACATTGGAGCGTTGCGGAATAGGATCACCTAGGAGGGGTGATTCTATTAGCAGGGTCTAATTAAATACTATTTTTAATGCAGCTTCATATACTGAAATTGATAGCTATAAAACCCACATACCCAATGGTCGCTTTCGATCGGCATACCGAACAAATGGCTCCACCCATCCGATAGCACGCGTAATAGTCGTCGGGTTTATGCCTAGTATTTGAAGCTTTTTACCGAGTCGGACTCGACTTTAGTATTTCATTTTCCTTCAGGGAATTTGGTGATTATGTCATTGCTTAAAGCGCTATATAGGTTTTGGTTAACTAAAGTTCAGCATCAAATATCCGTGAGTCAACTTTAAGACCACGAAAGGTGTGGCTTTTGACTTTTTTTGCGATAAAAGCTGCAACATAATCCGCTGTCACTTTGTTTTCGAGCTGGGTCTTGACTCACCAGTAACTTGTGTGATCAGTCTCTGTGGTTCAAGGCAGTTGAAAAGAACGGCTGCCGCTAATTCGCGGTAGCTGAAGTCGAGAGACCTCACGTCGGTTCGGCACAAATCGAGAATCTAAGCAATAATTTAACAATAGTCCAATTTTTGTCATGCCTTTGCCATATGCACAAAGTCCTCTATCATCAGATTCGGGACAACGCAGCGCTTGTCTGAGGGGCCTTCTTCGGAGTCTGGTTTTATCTCCTTCCTGCCAAGCAATTGCATGAAGAAGGAGAGCCAATGGACTGGAGTGACTGGGGAGAGTATCCAATCTAATTTCTGAAAAAAATTAAATTATATGAAAACTGTTTTGCAAGTTACCTCTAACATAAATAATTCCATTTCCTGCACTTCGACACATCGGCAAGCCCCATCAGTATAGTAGATGAAGGCGTCAAGCTTTGGTGGGTAGATTTCCTGAAGCTCAGAATAAACATTTCCGTCATCTTTGTTTAACTGTAAAGTGTTTTTACTCAAGTTGGAGTTTCGATTCGGGACCAAGTGCATCTTGTGCAGAATTTTTTGCTGATCCCGAATCCGCTTTCCAAATTTGCTGCGAACTTTTATTTTGAAAGTTATACAGCAATTGTGGTAGTGTTTTTCACGAAAATCAAGGAACCGTTATCGTTTTCGGTTTTCCTGATCGATTTCAACTTCAAAGTTGGCTAGAAATTGGCTAGACAAGCATCTTAAAAGTCAAAACAAGCTTTTTATACAAAATTAAATTTTCTTAGGCAAAAAGCAAAAGAAAGGTGCAGGGCGGGGATCCGGGGCGCCGCCCTGCGCTTGGTAAGCGAGTACTTTGCCAATGCACCATGGTGCCAACCGGGAGGGTGACTGTGAGAGAGTACTTCAGGGCCCCTGGGCAATCCAGAACCTAGGAGGGAATAGTGGGCCAGGATCCGAATTTTTGGCTTTTTCAAGCTTAATTTGCACCCAAAATGACTTTTTAAATAAAAGTCCGCAGCAAATTTGGAAAACGGATTCGGTATCAGCAAAAAATTCTGCACAAGATGCACTTGGTCCCGAATCGAAACTCCAACTTGAGTAAAAACACTTTACAGCAAGTCATTCACTATGCTTACCTCAAATTTACTAGCTATAAAAACAGCCGTCATGCCGATCAACTGTAGATGCTCCACCGGCCAGCCGGTGGTGTTCGATAAGAATCGATCGACGTAATCCACCGCCAAGTGGAATGTCTCGCGATGTTGCTTCTCGGACTCGCAGACCTGGATTTATTTCTATAAAATCTAAAAGAGGATGTGTACCTCCATGATCCAATCGATAAGTATAGCCCTAGTACTTCCTGTAATATCTGTATGATTGTCCAGATATCCAGAGGAAGACATGCTCTTTTTATCGGTGTTCACCATCAGGTTCCACATCTGAAATGGATGTATTTTTGCAACGGGAAAGGGCAATATTGATAAATATATTTATATTATTTTAATGGAAAATTAGGTAAAATACGTGCTAGTTCCGCTATGAAAAAGACAATATTTTTTAATTTATGGGATTGATCGATTTAGAGCCGATGTTACCAAAAATTCCCAACGAAGAAATCTTAAATTACCAGACCGGTGGCCGGAATGAGGGCGTTTTTTGAACTTTTCGAAGGTCAGCAATTTGGCGGGTGGATGGGGACCTGGAAATGGGACGCGCCCCCAATGGCATTAGCCGTCCCCCAACAAGCTACCGTATCAACCTCTCGAAATTTACGGACCGTGAATGGGAAATGGGGCGAATTATTGCGGGTCTTGAGGAGGTTTTTGTAGAGTGCCGGCAAAGTACGCTACCGCAACCCTGAAATCTTAAATTGTCCATACCTTTACCGGACTTCCGAGACCGGTTGTCGACTCGTCTGTAAGCTGAGGTGGTACGGGCTCCAGCCCAAAATCTTCGTCCAAACTTTCGGCGATCGAGCGTAATGAGTTGTCCTCATTTGGGCCCTCGACTAAAATAGAAGCAATTAAATTTATTACATAACATCTAAGGTTTTCCACTATAATCCTAAAATCCTATAAATTTTTCGTATGATACATACCATAACAGTCCTCTTCACCGCTATCCGAGGAATCGGAATGGTGGTTTTCCGGGGTTTCAGGGCTCTCGTAAACCTCGAAAGAAGCGTTAGCCGGTGTTCCAGGGCCGGCCGAGCTTGTGGTTCTGGAGTTTATTTTGATTTTAAAGTTGGTTGCCGGTTCATTTTTTTCAAGGTACTGATAAGTAAGCCCTGAAAGAATATTATGACAGTTAGATATAGCGAATTATAACGAATTTATGGCCAAAGGATACAAAAAATGTCCATGCATAACTTACTCCTCAATCCTCGCCGTCGTCATCTTCAGCTGTTTCCTCGGCGGACGGGTTACCGAAGCGGGCCGTTGGGGCTAGAAAAACAGCGGTGATAGAAAATGATTGATGAACAGATTCTTCTATTGGTAATAAATGTCTGTTAGTGTATTGGGGGATATGGGTTGGAATACCGCCTGGGGGGTCACATTGAGGTCAGTTGGTACCTCCTGCTCCCTCCCCCGTTCGCGCCAATCTTCCCCTTCCCGCCAACCCTCCAAACACCAGCCATATCCTCTCCTCTGGGGCCGTTTCGAGAATTTGCAGCCGCCCATTAATTACCAGGGGTAGTATGAATTGATACCCTGGCAGGGAAATCGATATCATTGAAGGACGTTGCAATGGTGCAGCAAATTAATGCAAAATTTCGCGCCTGCCGATACCTTACTCCCAATACCTAGAACCCCACCCAACCCCAAATTTGCTAGATTTCATACGATTAGGGGCCCCCGACCACCTCTCCCCAAGGGCAATCTTGGAATACGCAAAAAGTGGTGGCCTCACCTGTGCCCTCTTCCGGCTGATGGCACTGCAGCCGCTGCTGACCTTCTCGGAGTGGTGGAAAAACTTGTGGATCGTGGCACCCATTGGTTTCTTGATGGGAGAGAGTTTTCTGGAAATGAGTGAAGGAATATGAGGGTGGAAAGGTGTGTTAGGGACATTGAAACAGAGGGTAAAATTTGTAGCGCTCGAACAAATCAGCCTAAAACCCGGAAGCACAGGCAGGAGGCAATTAGGGGTTTTAAAGGTGTTAGCAGTCGAAAAAAACACCAAAATTTCGTTATATTAGAAGACTTTTGTAATCTTAAAAATATGGTTTATCTCGCTTTTGATGGCGAAGAACACAAAAATAAGGCAAAATTACAGATTTTAAATGTAGTGGCACAACCTAGAAAATATTTTTTCGGCCGGCTCCAAAATACGATAAATTGGCTTCCCAATACCTTTAAAACGGGACATAAACAAACCGTGCCCTCCTCCGGCGCGACTTTTTCGGAGCCAATCGGCCATTTTTCATGTCCTAAACCAATGGAATATTTTCATACACTATTTCGTATAGTGAATTAACAACATCAAAGTCGCGCCAGCCAACTGTCGAGCGCCAAAACCCCTGAGGTAGCGGACGAACTGTACAGCCTGGTTCTGGCGCCCAAAAAGTGTATACAGATGCGATAAGGGCTGGAAAAGAGGGGGACATGGGGGTCTCTTTGTGCCCCCAAGGGCCGCCAGCCACCATCAGCTGCCCCTTCAAAAACTTTTGAATTTGGGAACCGGTCAGCCGGGATGTGGAAATTGAGCGGTTTCACCTGTCGAATCAAAAATCTGCGGTTGACGAGGAAAGTTTAGCGGGGTAGGGCCAAAGAAAAATTAAAAAAATTTACCTTAAAAATAATATTTAACGTGTGTAAAATAGGAATTTTAATTTTTTTTGTCTGGGATTGACAGGTGCGATTTCATTTTGGTTTTTGGACTTATGCGGTTGTTTCGAGGTGCGCAAGATTGATTTTCGGACGGTAGAGATAGAACTAGAGATGCGCATTAAAAGAGCTGCATTCTATTAATTCAGTTTCTTGATCTTTCGCTCCTTCCATTTTTCCTACCAAATATATAAACTTTGCAGGTGTGCGCGCAAACTACCAAATTTACGACTTGAAAAGCAACATTTTTATTTGGCGGGGATGTGGGAATGTCGCGTAGGCCGCTCATAAGGGTTTTTATGTTGAGAGTTTTTTTATTACTTTTTCTTGGCAGGGTACAGTTTTTATTTTCCGAATCAATTTAACAGAGAGCAACTCTTTATTCGTCAAAATTAGCAGCTCCACATCCACACCGAGTTTCCGGTCTTTTTGAAGTGATACTCCTTGTTCAGCTCGTAGCAGCCCTTGCCCTCGCACGCGTAGACGTAATCTCAAAGTTAGGATACTATCGATAATTCCGCGTCCTGTAATAAGAAAGACATACCTCCACGATCCAAGTTCTTGAACTCCTGAAAATTATTGGTATAGGAATTAATCGGAAAATGGATATACCCAAACACGCCTGTTTGCTCCGCATTGTCCCGGGTTGGTGGCAATGTATCCAACCATCGTCTTTCCATCGTAGAAGCGAAGGCCTAAAATAACTTGTGTCCTCAAGTTTCCGGTGATCGCTCTCATGCTATACCCAAATATTAATATCTAACCCTTGGAATCAACCGTCAGAGATTTCAGGGAGCATCCGTTTCTCGGGTTGGCCGACTTCGAGACGCACAGGCTAAAAAAAGAGAAACGGTAACACCTAGAGCATGATTTTTACTTAGTGTCCACTTGGATGACTTTGTCCATATCCCCCCTGCGCACGCCGAGCTCGTCGGTGGTACGGTAGGAGTTGCGCCATCTAGAAATCGGGTAATTTTACTACCTAGAGCCATTCTAAAGGCGCTGGGAAGCGAGATTTTTACTCTTCTTAAACTGAAACATATACCTGAGATCTTTGTCCGGGTAGTTTTGCTTGAAGAGAACCATCGGCAACTTCCTGCGAGCGCTGGATGGGAGACCTAAAGGCAGCTCTTTGGCTGACCCTAGCAAATACCGCCATGGTGATTGCTACCATTGTTATGGGTGTGGTTGTCATTATCATTGTCTTTTCCGCCATCATCGTCTTTTCCAGAATTCTTGCCACCAATATGGATTTGGATGCTTTGTTGCACGATCATCTAAAGACTTTCGTTGGTGTTTTACTTCCCTGGACGCGTCTAGCTAGAAAAAGATGTTTTCAACCCATTGTTATACAGTTGTTTTCAATTTACCGGCGGAGGCGGGGCCAATAACGCCATAAAGGGCGGGTTCGGATCAGCATTCGGGAATTGGGCGGCGACACCGGCAAAAGGGTCCGGCAATTGCGAGGCGTCTTGCGCAAAGACGGCACCAAGGAATAGGCCACCGAGCAGGAGAAATCCCATCGCTTCTGTATGGATAGTTACTGTAGAAGATGAGGTCTTATAACAACCTCTCATTTGCATGTTTCGCTGGCTACAACATCTTGGAGATTTATGAGCGGGAATTTTGGGGGAATGGCAACTGCTGCCCACGCTCGATGGTGGGTTTTAGAAGCAATGAAAACTCGGGATGTTGAGATTTTTATGGCGAGAGGGGCATGAGAGAGGGAGAGAGAGCGAGAAAGAGAGAGAGAGAGAGTGAGAGAGAGAGAGGGAAAGAGGGAGATTGTTATCGAGTGGTTATGGTATTCAAGTGTTATCAAATCTTTATTTTTGACCATTTATCCAGAACATGGAATGAGTACAATGAAAATTAAGGCAGTACAACGCTTTGAATCTCAAAAACATTGACTAATCAAGCAAATTTTGACAAGAGCCGAAAAAGTGGTATCCGCACAAAGTGACCCGTTTCTTTGGACTATGTGAGGGTAGTGGATGCATGCGGTATGATGCGTATATGCAGAGCAAAAACTGGAAAGCAAATTTGGCGATTTGTTAGTGATTGGCAGTGTCAACAATCCCCAAGAAATATTCTTGGATTTGTGCATCGGTGGGGGCGTCGGCAACCTCCCAACTGTCGGCGAGTGGGTCTCGGATGGATTCTTTGCAGAGTGGGCATTTGAATCTGAAAAATGGTTTTCAAAGGGACTTGACAATCATAAGGTTCGAACCTACAAAATTTGGCATCTACCAAGCACTTTTAAGGCATAATGGGCTACCTCTAAGCGCCTTAAGAGCCAATTCGAACAGAGCAACACAATTTATTGCCCTTAATCCCAAAGGATCACAACTACCACCCGGGGTCTTTACTATATAACTTACCGCGGCCGATACTCGAACCATTCCGTGATACAAACAGTACAAAATGAGTGCAAACAGGGTAGTAGGGTCTCGTTTGGCCGTTCCATACAAATGGCACAAGTTCCATCAGCAATGGCGCTAGATAACGATGATTTTTTCGGATTTTGAAGCCTACGTCTCTCCCAGGATCATGATGCTGTGCGTCATTAAATCCTCAGCAACTGGAGGTTCGGCTCCAATGGCGGGCTTCAGAAGCACTAGATACGATCGGTAGACGTTCAAAAATTCGGTGAGGTTGAAAAGACGATAGGATTTTACGTTGTTTGATTTTTCGTCCATCTAAAAGGGGATTTTTAGCTTTTCTTCTACAAATAACCAATAAAAATTATTTTAAGCACTCATTAAAATTACTGACCTTTAAACAACAAATTCTGACTGTAGATTTCCAATTTGGCGTATCCATCGTATCTTTTTTCAAAGCAAAAAATATGTATTCCCCATCTTTGACTTGATTTCGACATCTGAAACGTCATCGGATAGTTTTTTACCTTTAAACTACATTACTTGTTTTATTAATATTAAACTAAGCTGCCTAAAAACCTACTTTCTATTCATCTCGCAAATATACCCGGCAAACTCCTCCCAACCGAGTGTAATCGGTTGTGAGATCCCGTCCGGCTTCAGCAGCTCCTCGATCTTTTGGATAGTGTTCCCCATCTGGAATTTTGCATCTGATATATGTTTTAAAGCATTTAGAAAATGCATAAGATAACCTAGAAAAGCAAAAGTATGTCCGGGTCAAACACATGACTCTGCCCCGAGGATTTTGCAAGAGAATGGCAGAGAGGCTCGGTGGTGCCCTTTAGCATGCAACCGCCACAGCCGCATTTTCAGCGCGTAACCTATTGCCCGTTGGTGATGGTTACGAGGTTATACAAGTGACAAAAATTCTAGAAATATTAAAAAACTATTTTGACATGGAAGGTAAGGATGTTCTAGCGGAAAAGCGATTTAGCACGGATTGATAATACTGGGTCAAATACGCATTTTTATATCCGACATCGACTTGTGAGAAGCCTGTGAGATTCGCCACGACACTGGCGGCATGCAGGTTGATTTTTATTTTTACTGGGATAACCGGTTGGTGTTGAGATGTGCTAGGATTATCTATCAAAAAGCTCGGTATTTTCATAGTTACAGAATAACTATGATAATTTAAATTCCAAATGCCGAAATCGAATAATATTCATCACGTAATCCGTTGTTTCAATTTTTTTTACTGCATATTTGATGTTTATTGCTTAACCGGAGAATACAGAGACGAAAAAGAAATAAAATTCCTTGGGGAGAATAAACGGTTACACCCTGCAAAAACCTGTCAGCGAACAGTGACGCCACGAAAATCGCGTCAGTAGGACCGATTACGCAAAAATAGCCTGCCGGAATGGGGTTAACATTCTAGTTTTCCACGTTTTCATTAATGTGGTGATTGAGGGGGTTGGAGGGTCATTTTCTTTTCACACATTTTCTTATTATGGGCGTTGGTGGCAATGCGTGGTTCCAGTGATGATACTGTGGGGCAATTTGATTTCGACACGGGGCGCAGCTAAAAAGCGAGGTGGCAATCGTAAACAGGCACACAAGCGCGCCCCCACGACGGTTAACATGCGTAATCACAAGGGTTAGCCAAAATATCCTCCGGTGCGGAATTTCGTGTGTTTCACGAAGGCAAATTCCGGCGTTGGAGATCGGCTGCGATGCCCTAATTGTTTTGTCTTAAAGGGCTGCCGACGGCATGTGTCGATCCCCCTCACCAACATGGCAAGTAGCCAAGGGCGCGCCCGGAGGAGAGGCGCAGACCCATTCTTTCGGCGTAACCGATGATATGCCGTCGGAATCCACTTTAAAGGGTCTTGAGGGATCCACCCGAAGTTCCTTCTAATTTTACCGTCAATTTTTCGGACTATTGACGCAAAACAGCGTGATGAGTCCGAACGAACCCCTACTCCACGCCATCGCCTTCTTCGGCAGCATCGACGGCAGCCCATCGGGGAAGCCGCATAAGTGGCTTTGGTGTTGGGCCGTTAGCGGGGAACCTGACTTTGGCTTGGCGCCATCAATGTTTGCCATACAGGGTGTCCGAAAAAACCCCTACCTAGCGGTCCGCAGGCGTTTCTGATTTTTACGATTTTTACGACTTTCTGGGCTCCGCGAGGCATAATGTGAAGAATTTCCTTATCCTTGCCGCTTGCATTCGCCAGTGTGGTCGAGGAGGGGGGATGGGAAGATGGACCCCCGGTTGTCGGGAGGTCAAATTTCGCATCTCCCAAGGCTCGCGAAGCGGGTTTTTGGGGCGCAGGGTATGAAATTATTTTGAGCTGAAATCAACAATCCTCCATATATTTTTTTGACGCTATATTGAGAGTGGCGTCTGAAAAACAACCGTGACAGATGAACGAAAGTACGCCAAAAAAATAGCTGGCTCACATTTTCAAGGGCTTTCTTGTTTTTGTTAGTACTTTTGTATATTGCGTGCGCTTGTTCGGATACCCACTATCGCCAGCAAAATGCATGATATTTTGGCCCTTTTTTTTGAAGAGCCCTCGAGGTATTGCTAATCCAACGAGCCGTGTATTGCAAGAATCCCGCCGTGCATAGTCCAATTTTGGGGTCTCCTCCCGCCTTCAGAGATGGCTATATGGCGTCGAGATGCCTTATCCCCTCCTCTACCGCCGCGAGAAAGGTCAAGGACCCCCTGTGCCTCTTCTTCTTGCTACCGTCCGCTCGAGCGGAGGGGCTCCGAATTAAAGATGCATTCGTAATGGGTGAGGCAGTGAGATGAGAAATGCTATCAGTGGATCATAAATTTGGGGGGTGGCTGTCGGCTAGACGGGTAGCGAGGCGGTTTCAAAGGTGGGCGGGAAATTGGAGAGGGTCAAGTGAGTGTGGCCAATATTTGGTAGCTGTTTCGACATCAAAATCAGGGAAAATACTTAAGGCTTGCAAAATCAGGAAGTAACAGCTAAATAAAAGATTACGGTAGCCAAAAATCCGGGTGTCAAAGTCTTAGTATGTAAAAATTCGACAGAAGATGGTTGGAAAACGGAAAATGTCTGGAAACAACCTTAGAAGATTTTTTGGCTGTCGGCATCTTGTCGTGTCGACATTCTCGATTTGGTGGCATTTCAACTGTCGTTAACCCGTGGCGAAGTAGTAGTAGATAACGGGACATCCACCACAGGATTTTTGTGGTTTCCTCACAGCTTCTTTCCGTTCCTGACGCGCAACTCTAGGCCTCTCTCTCTCTCTCTCGCTCCCTCCCTCTAACAACTCTCTAGTGTCGCTGTCGCTTGAACACCTATACTCCAAGATTACAGCACTCTACCATACTCCTCCGACACGCCGACGCCATCACCATCACCATCCTCCCAAAAAACGGGCTCCTCCCAATCGGGCTATGGGTGTCGTCGCAGCACCCCTTTTTAGGTGGGGGTGCATGGTGGTGCGTGTGAAAGGGGGTGGTGGTTGCCCTGTCCTCTCCGTTGGATGCATGTTTGTGCTTCTCCGCCCCTCCAGTGACCAGTTCTTCTTGTTCTTCTTCGTCCACCCGGTCCTTCGAGGCCAAAAAAGGGCCCTTGGTGTCGAGGGTCCACGTCGACTGGCATGGATGTGAAATCGCCCGGTGCACCCTGATTCACGGGCCGCCCAGCAGGTGCAAGCTGGTCAGCTGGCAATACGGAGCTTTTTTGGGTGTTTGAGGGGTTGTACTTGACTTGAACTTTCTTTTCATAAAAAACTACAGCACTGCCTGACTAGTTTTTCTTTTCTGAAAATACACTACGTTTTCGGGTTTTCTTTACTGGAATTGTAGGGTCTGGTTGATATGCCACACTACAGTAATTCCTAAATCGTCTGGTCAGATTTTAATGGACTTCGCTTCCATGAAGATTTATCCGTAGAAGTGGTAAGTAGACTTTACGTACCGCGTCCGTAATGCAACAGATTTCTTGGGGTGGTACCTCATTACGCAATGAAAAAACGTGCTTACCCCGTCTTTAAGTACCACTGAAATAAGCGATCCAGAGCCTAGAAAATCCAAAACATTGCCTTGAAACCCTTTAAACCGGATCTTTTGACCTCTACCTCTACTTCGCGGTCCGCTTTTGAATCCTCTGTTTCGAAAAGCTAGGCGTACATGTATGGCTTGTCACGTGCGCGTCGCAAAATCTCGGCACACAGAAGGCAGAAAATCTGGAGTGACAAAATCCAAGAATCCTGCCTTGCACGCTCCTTTAAACAGTATCGGTCCCGTTTTGCGATCTCGGCTTTGGACCTCGGCTAGTTTGAATACTTCCCCTCTAGGCCGTACGCCGTGTTGTGTGACCGTTTGACCTCGAGACCTCTCCGTCATGTGGGTGTGGTGGTGGTCTTTGGATGAATGGGTGGACCACCGTCCCGCTTTTTGTGACCCTGGGTAGGGGCCCATCCGTGGGTCTCCTTTTCTGGGCACCCACCCCCTTGTCAACCATCTATTCATCCTCATACTGGCCTGTCAATAAGCACCGCTCGGCCTTTATGTCTGTCTGTCGCTCTCCCTCTCTCTCTCTCTCTCTCTCTCGCTCTCTCCCTCGACGACTCGCTGAAGAACTACCGTCTCGCGCCACAAACATATCTATTTCCTCAGCTTCCCTGTTCCGGAAGGGGTTTTTGTGTTCATAAATATTGACATTTTGGGGTACTGTATTTTTTGAAACTTCTGAACGGTGGTGGCGGACAGTGACCGCCATAAGGGCCTAGTAAAAGCGAGGTAGGAGAAAAGAGAGAAACCGAGATTAATCAAAACAATCTATGTAAATTTCTTCTGCTTAAATAACATGGAGAACCCCAAAAAAAGAATTCAGTATATCCTAGGTTCTAGGCGACACAAAACCAGTTACCGCCGCCTGAATAGCCCGGTAACCGATTCCGTAGATCCCGCTCCCGGGTCCCGATTTTCCGGAATACCGGTATCTCCGCTGATCCATGTATCCGGGATCTCTTGCTTCCTCTTTTTCCCCCTAGCGAGACCTTTAGTGGCCTCGCCTTCTCGTCATTCCTTCTTCCTCCTTCCCATTCCTCCCGATTGTCCGTCCATAGGAATGGGGCGGAGTCTCATCGAGGAATCGGATGGTGGGGTACGCGCAGCCCCTGTGCACCGCCTCCACAGACCCCTCTCGTCTCTCCGAAGGATTTTCGATTTGCATCCACCTAGCCCTTGCCCATGTTTACCACTGTTTGGAGGAGGGCGTTCGTTTTTGTTGATCCGGAAATCGGCAAAAAAATCGATAATTTTGCTAATTAAATCTTACATCCGTCCGTTGTTTACGGTTGGAAATCTCGTATTTGCCGAACGATTTGCTGATTCAGCGCTACGGACTATGCAAAATCCTCTTTTTTACAACGGTTGTTCGGCATTTTCCCGGATGTTATCGGATTTTTAATATTGATATACCTTTTTTGTATATATCAAGGTCTCTCATACTCTCTCTCTCTCTCTCTCTCTCTCTCTCTCTCTCTCTCTCTCTCTCTCTCTCTCTCTCTCTCTTACGCTCTTTCTCTACTCTGTATTAGGTTTCCATGATATCTAAAACGCAAACTCATTTGCAAATCGAACTGAATTTTCCTGTTTTCACAGAGTCTTCGCACCTTTAAAAACCTAATATTTTTCAGGCAGCCGCAATGCTGTCCTCTCCAATGATGTTGTCGTTTACGACAATATTCTCCCTCCTCGGCGTCGTTTTGATGATTGTCGGCCTCTCCTTCGACAATTGGGTCGAATACCAGGTCAGTAATTTTTTTGATGTTTTTGTCTGCTCTCGAGCTATCAACTATTCATTACAATAATTTTTCTCTCATTCCCAATCCCTTTCCTTTTGTATTGTGTTGCTCCGCCTAATCCAGCTCCCCTTCCTCCTTCTCATCCTCCTCCCCAAACCTCTACGAGCCATTTTTGACCTTGGCACCCCCAGGGGGGTCGGCTATCCCCCCGAAAAAGAGCACAGGGTCGTCTCGCCCCCCACGCGCGCGCTTGGCCTGATAAATTGCTCCAAATACGCGCAAACCGTGCATGGGAATCTCGGGGAATTGGCCGAGATATGGATCTGGGCAATGGAGGGAAGGGAGGGAGCCAAGTTTACCCGCGCTCGTCAGGCGCTCCCAAAACTTGCCGTGGCAAAAAAGAAGAGGGACGGACGAAAAAGTGGCACTTGTCTGCTTTTTTGAACGGCAATTCGGGGATCGCAAAATTGGCAAAAACGCTTCTAATCGCTTTGGGGCGCCCGTGCACATTTTTCTCTAGTGCTTTTATTGCAAAGTGGAGTCGCGGAATTTTTAGACATTTAGGGTTCCTTACTAAAGTAGCTTTTCCTCCATTTTCGTCGATCATTCGCTATTTCCCGCTCTTTCCTATCTACGTCTTCCACTTCCCACCTGAATAATCATCTCCCCCGCGGGCGCGATTAGCGCTGCCGCGCAACTCACCGACCCACCCAACCCCCGCGCCCGTATAAGGGGGACTTCCCAGGGCCATTTCGGGTTCTTTCGACCGTCAGCGAGTATGGGAAAGTCTGTCCAGCGCCTCGGCGACAGTTTTTACGATTGGTCTGAAAGGTTGTGAGGCGCGCTCGGGTTTTTGCGATGGCAGTCGGGGGAGTTGGATGGGCTACGGCAATTTGAGGAAGGCTAAAGGGAGCGCGACAGCAAGAAATGGCTATGTTTTTCCCCTTTTTGCCCCGGTGTTTTACGTATACAAAGACGCTAAATCATGAGAGTTACCCGTTACATCGTAACGTAATGCTAAGTGTGATTTTACGCTTCTACAGGGTGTCCCTAAAAAAAATAGACCCCCTCTAGCGGTCCGGCGAAAGGTCGGGTCGGGATAATTTTTACACCATTCGAAAGCCCTTGAAACTGCGAGAAAATAGGTGCTTGTCGTTTTACAAAATTTTTTAGCGAGCGCTCGATATTTAACAATTACTCAAAAAAAGAGTACAATCCGCGTCGTCCTGTTTGCTTTAGCAATCAATTAACATGTTGATTTTGCATAAAATTTGCGGTTTTATGGATTTTGGTCCTAAATTAAGTGGATTAAAAATGGCTATATTAAAAAACGAAAAGTGCTTGTTTTCTCGCCTTTTCGACAGCTTTCGATAGATATCTAAATCATCACAATCGGACATACTGCGGCCCGCTAGAAGGGGGTCGATTTTTTTCCGACACCCTGTTTACTTCGCATATTTTTCTCGAACCACCGTATGGCTTCTTTCCCATAAATAAGCCCAAACGCAAAGTATTCGCTTCCTTCCGAAGCGAACTCTTCTAGGCTGCCTCCATCATTTGCACCCAAAAGTGCAGATTCCCCCTAGTCACCAGCCCCTGATTCGTCAGATCGGCACCCTCAAGCCGTTGGCCAGGGCCCAGGGATCGATGAGTGGGCAGGAGGGTGGACACCCTCAAGTCTCGACCAGATCTCTCTAGCATACCCCAACGCCAGCGTCCCGTCTGATAGACATGCCTGGCGACGATTTTTAAAAAGAACGGGGCAGACTATTGGAAAAGGCCGAAAAAAATACCATGACTGTAATCTCTGCACTGTATCTTTCTAACACCACCTTGCCAAACCATCTAAACGACACTACCAGGGGGAAGGGCATAACTAGCCCAATCTGCTGCCCATTCAATCCGGGGGGGTGAATGGCTTCTTCTTCTGCTGCAGGCTTCGTGTAAGTGGCTGTTATGGGGGGAAAGTGGTGTTCACTAGCTGAGGAAGAAGGAGCCAAAGAAGAAGGAGAAGAAGAAGAAGCCGCTACAGGGCTGCGATTGAATGGTGACTACAGAGCCGAAACGTGGCCAATCAAGCGGTTCTACGCCGTGAGCTTGAGAACGGCTTTTCGGAACGGTAGTGCCGGAAGTTCGAATCCTAATTTCAATTTTTGACGATCGGTATTCTTCTCAAAGTTCCAAAAGAATATCTGCTACTCTTGCCTAACGAAAGTTAACGAAGCATAATTTCCACTTCCGGTTCAACATTTTATCTTTTTTCCGGCAATAAGCTACCGATACCCTTAATGACCCCTCGATCGATACTCCGCCATCATCTCCCCTTGATTTCTCTCCATCCCATTGTTGACCTTACCATAGCAGCCCATAAATGGAGGAAGTGCCTAGCCACACAAGCCCTTCAGCCCCCTCCTCCTCTATGGGGTACTTGACACCGCCAATATGTAGGTGAGGCTTGTATGCCCGGAGAGGAGAGTCTCCTTACCATACCGAGACTCAGACTGGTAGTTGCTGCTACTACCAGCTACTGGACACATCGGGAATGGGGTTGGGGGGCTTGTACCTCATCCGGGAGGTGAAAGTGGCGCTTTGGGGGAATTGGGACGTGGCGGGTGGTTAGGTTTGCGTTTTTGAAGGGGTGAGAGTAGGTCTGAAACGTTTTTTTAAAGAGAATTTAACTCGGATTTCAGCGGTTTTGAGCTCTTGGAGACTTTAAAAGAGAGCGAGAGAGAGAGAGAGAGAGAGAGAGAGAGAGAAAGCGAAAAGAGAGAGTTGTTGGCGCGTTTTTAGCTTTTTTTGGGCGAAGGAAACCACTTTAATTTTTGTGCAAATTTCCTGAACCCGTCCACCCCTCACAATTCCGTTCTTATCACCCCCATTTCTCCACCAAATTTATGCATTCTCGGATCCGGTATCCGATTGCACATAGGGCGTTTGCGGAATGGTCGCGTGCCGTGATCCATCCATCAGATGTCTCGCTCTCTCCCCTCCCCTCCTCCCGGCCAAATGCAAATAGGATCGAGCCGTTGTGTGTATGCGGGGGTGTACGGAACGCTCCTCCGGTACGGTCCGCGTGTTGTCTCGGGATCACCAGGGTGGGGGACCCTCATTATGCCGGGTCACCACACAAATTCCTGGCGCTTAAAAGCGATGCACCTGTGCGTGGTTCGACCTGAAATTGGAGTTAATGTAGCTAAAACAATTGGATTTAAAGGTCTAGTAAAACGAGAATTTTCTCCGAAGCTATTTTTCAGCTAAAAATTTTTCCTCAGAAATTTATGATCAAAAAGCCGGTTTATAAAGTTCCGCCCATCCCCCCATTAACCGTATCATATTACGCAAGGCCACTAGGAACATCACCATCTCACCCTCCTCCATGACATGGCCACATTTTTCGAGGCTAATCGCCCGTGCATTGCGCAATAGCCCCCTCGTCGTGCATAAGTCAACAAATATGTCAATACACACCCTCAAGGCCAACACCAGGCCACGGCACAATCGTGGGATACACACAAAATTGTGGCGAACCAGTTTCTCGCTCTGCCTCCTCATAGCGCTCACCGTCAACTCCAATTCCATGGGTTCCGGCTGGGATGGGAAACAAGGTGGAACGAGTGGAATGGCGAGCAAGATTGGCCCCAAAAATTTGCATATCGTTTAAGGGTTTTTGTCGCTACCTGACGAGGGAAGCTCGCAAATATTCTTTACGATTTGGTGAAAGAGCACCAGACGATTTTTTAGAAGTGCTCCTGAAGATTCCGTTTGCGCGTGATTTTTTCGATTTCTACTATATAAATTAAATAAATTCTAATCCTAATTCTAGAATTTTTATATGACTTTTCGATCCGTTTTCCTCAAGATTTCCCGAAAGGGGATGAGCCCAAGTGTTTTTAATGGGCACTTGGATGGACATTCAAGGACCCGCGCTCCATCGAACCCAAGTCGAGTGTGTACACACCAAAAACCGAGGCGGCGAGGGGTATAAGGGTCGACTGTCTGAAAAAGGGGATATACCATGGACTTAGTAGCTTTCTAATGGCTCAGCGGTTAAAAGATACTTGCTGGTAAGGTATCGCAGGTTTTAACAGATCGTATTGCTGTATCATACGCCTAACCAGTTCGTAACGCAAATTTGTAGCTCTTCATTCATCATTCATCGTGTCGAGGTATCGCGGTTTATTAACAGTCCGTATCGAGTATCGGTACGTATTACCAAATCGTAGTGAGGTATCGCTGCTTATTAACAGGCCGTAAGTAGGTACCAAAGACCGTTCCGGCAAGTCGGCTCGGGGCGAAAACGCCATGCGGGGAAAGTACCTCATCCTACTCCTCCCAGTTTTCTATAGGAAACTCTATACCTTACCGCGATCACTTCCTCTTGACATCAAAACCACCTTGCTAGCGCGATCCCGCGATAACCGGTTGACCCCCAGGTGGGTTGGGTAAAAAAAAAAAAAAAAAAAAAAAAAAAAAAAAAAAAAAAAAAAAAAAAAAAAAAAAAAAAAAAAAAAAAAAAAGGGGGGGGGGAGAGGGAAAAAAGAGGAGAAAAATAAAAAAAAAAAAAAAAAAAAAAATGGAAAAAAAAAAAAAAAGGGGAAAAGATAAAAAAAAAAAAAAAAAAAGAAAAAAAAAAAAAATTAAGAAGGGGGATCGTGTTACAGGGTCCACCCGTCTTCCCGCTCCTTTCATGTGGCCGCTAGGGTCATAATTGAGGCCGGCCGGGGATCGATGAGAGATCTTTTGGCATTGCAGGAGAGCCTGAAGGTAGAGGAGGGCGAGGGACACACCCCGAAGGTCAACCAAAACAATTTGTCACACCCACCCAGCCCCCCACCGTGGGTGCCTACTAGATGGTAGACCGTTTTTATGGGATCGGGCAGCGGAGGGGCGGAGGGGATATTTTATGCGGGCTGAAGAAAAGATTGTTCGGAGGGTAACAAAGGTTTCGAGATTCATGTAAAAATCGAATTGTGCCTGGGGATCGTCCGTTTTTGTCGTTAAGTCAAGTCCAACGTTCTATGGATTTTCACCTTAAAAGGCTTTTTAAAATAGTTTAAAAAGAGACAGAGACTATTTAAGACCTTAAAAGCAACCTTTTTCTTTCAGGTCAACCGCCGAGACATCGTCAACGCGTTCACCCATGATCAAGACCTAAATATGAAACTGAAAGATGCCTTCGTCAGCAACAAACTCTTCTACTCCAGAAACTACGGCCTGTTCAACATCTGCTTCGGCGACACCCTTCCAAATGGTTCGTATCAAGTGATTAGCCACTGGTTTCATCCCCCATTATTCCATCAAATTCGCATTCCATTCTGGCTTTCACTTGGCATAATTCCGTGGGGGGGGGGGGCAGATGAGATAAAATCTCGATCTGACGGCGACTCCCCGGGGCGATGATCTCGACTGATATACTAAATAGGGGGCTCGACCACAGCGGCGGAAACTTGCATCTATCGATTTAGGGTGGGCTGCGGTGCGAATAAAAAGGAATCTGTAGTTAGTAAAAATCTGAAAAACCTAGCAGAGATGTTTTGATTACTGCGTGAATATGCGGTCATAGCCGAAAATGCAGCAAACATTTGAATACAAATCTATAGTGCAGATACGGTCTCAAGCACGACCATCTAGGTATCGGCAGCTACAACAAACTCGGCGTCAACTGCATCACCTACAATGACTACTTCCCCCAGGACTCCGAGTCGATGCACTTCACGCAGGTACGGCACTCGAAGCGAACGAATTCTAGCACTTACTAATCTTTAACGAGGTAGTTTATAATTTTTTTTAGCTCCAAAATATCCGTCTGTGGCTGATGCGCGGCTTGGTGGTCTCCTTCGCCGTCGGGCTTCTGCTCCTCTTCATCTCGTTCGCTATCGGCGTGACGGCATGCTGGGGCCGTAGCCAGCGATACGTCACAACCACCGCTGTGGTTATGCTATTCTCCAGTAGGTTATTACGAAAAACCCTTGTTTTCGTTAAATCGGTGAAAAGAAATTGGATTTTTAGTGCTTTTCTTCTTCATCGGACTTGGTATCTGGCATTACGTCGATTACATGGAACGCAATCAGCTTGATATGGCTCCGTTCTACAAGGCTTGGGAACCGGTGGGTGACGTCTTAGATTATATATAAACCTTGGACGTCGTTAGGCCCTTAAAGTTGCTGCATTTCTTCAAAAATTATAATTTTTTTTGAGATCCTAAAGCAAACGACTCGGATCAGCTACGGATGGACGCTGGTGTTGGCATGGACTGGGGCAGCTTTCCTCAGCATTGCCACCATTTTCATGTTCCTGTCGGCCCACGCGCTGAAGGTATCGCAAAATTAGCGAGGGTCTAAAATGAATTCTTCCAGCGAGAAGATGACAAGGCTTTCGAGGCCAAGCACGGCGGATATGCCCTTTCGAGCTACTATCCTGATATGAAGACCGGCACCATTGTTCCGTCTTACAAGTAAGCTTTTTGCGCTTGTATTAAATATACTACTAAGCAACCTAGCGGAGGTCCTTTAGCAATTTTAAAAAAAAAAGGAAGGGGGAGGGTTTTTTTTTGTGGTGGGGGGGGGGGGGGGGGGAAAAAAAAAAAAAAAAAAAAAAAAAAAAAAAAAAAAAAAAAAAAAAAAAAAAAAAAAAAAAAAATTTTTTAAAAAAAAAGGGGGGGGGGGGGGGGGGGGGAAATAAAAAAAAAAAAAAAGGAGGGGGGGGGTTTGTGGGAAAAAAAATAAGGGGGGGTATAAAATTTTATATTTTTTTATTTAAAGGGTTTTTTTAATTTTTTATAAAAAATAAAAAAAGGAGGGGGGGAAAAAAAAAAAAAAAAAAAAAAAAAAAAAAAAAAAAAAAAAAAAAGGAAAAAAAAAAAAGGGAAAAAAAAAAAAAAAAAAAAAAAAAAAAAAAAAAAAAAAAAAGGGGGAAAAAAAGGGGAAAAAAAAAAAAAAAAAAAAAAAAAAAAAAAAAAATAAAAAAAGGGGGGAAAAAAAAAAAAAAAAAAAAAAAAAAAAAAAAAAAAAAAAAAAAAAAAAAAGGAAAAGAAAAAAAAGGGAAAAAAAAAAAAAAAAAAAAAAAAAAAAAAAAAAAAAAAAAAAAAAAAAAAAAAAAAAAAAAAAAAAAAAAAAAAAAAAAAAAAAAAAAAAAAAAAAAAAAAAAAAAAAAAAAAGAAAAAAAAAAAAAAAAAAAAAAAAAATTAAAAAAAATAGGGGGGATTTAAAAAAAGGGGGGAAAAAAAAAAAAAAAAAAAAAGAATAAAAAAAAGGTTAAAAAAAGGGGGGAAAAAAAGAAAAGAAGGGAAGGGGAAAAGGGGGGGGGGAGGAGGGGGGAAGAAGGGGGGGGGAAGGGAAAAAGGAGGATATGTAATACCGTAGTAGCTCTATATTTCCTTGCGATGAAGTCAATATAAACCGTTTTTAGCTACAACACCTACGGATACGGACAGCACTACCCTGGCTACTACCAACAACAGTACAACAACCAGTACTATGGCTATATGACATACGGACGATAGAGAATGGAAAAACGAACCCCTGCCCCACGACAGACTACCACGAACACACCCCCAGCTCATACTTAACATTGCCAGTATTTTGTGTAGAAATTTCTGTAAAACCTTCTCCTCCTATCCATGCCAAATGCTAGTTTTTGCCCCTAAACTCCCTGAAATCCGCCCCAGACCAAAATTCACAAGTCTGCCGAGGCTTGCCGACACCTTAAAACGTGACGTTTGAGCTGGAAAATTCATTTTTCTTAAATTTTGCGTTCTCCTTCTCTCGCCCCGACTCCTCACTTTCTATGTGATACTGCTCAAACTGTAGCCGTAATTCTCTGCAAATCTGCCGTTTTCAGTTACCACCCCCTCCCCCTTCTCATCCGACCATTGCCTTTTTCAGATTTTTCTCCGATCCGGGTCCGCCATGTTTTGTTTTGATTTTGTTTATACTATCACTCGTTCCCAACTCAACCGCATTTTCAGGAGTGTCTTTTTCAGTGCTTCTTCCCGTAATATTTCTATGTGCATAAAGTATATCCTAAAAAATCGGAGCGTGGAGGCAAAAGAGGGCGTATCTTCACATACCGCTTAAAAATGTGATATCAGAAGGCATTTAGCAGATTTTTGCCTTATTTAGAGCATAGACAATTCTTGCAAAACCGTAGAACGTGAGACAAATGTTTGGGTCACCTTTTTTGACTTACAGAAAACAAGAGCCACGGGGCAGGTGAACCGGGAGATTGATTCCACCCAGGGATTTTTGGACTTCAGTATCGCTTACTCGCACCATAGTAACCCGTACAATGTTTAATCCTGATGATCCTACGGTTTTTATCATAATGCATGCCTATAATGCTGCATGGGGTTTGGGGACTGTATTTTTCTGCGTAGCCGTTTATATGATTAACAGTCACCCGCTGGCCAGCAGGCACTATAAAATCGTGCAAATTAACTTAATGGTAAGGCTTTATTAAACAATAATTAATAAAACTAGTTTTCATATTTCTAGACATAGCTATTTGTATTTAACGACAATTTTCAGTTTGCCTGTCAATTCACGGATACGATAGCAACCATTTGCAAGGTGGTAATCCTGGCGCCGAAACTAGCTCTCCGCCTCCTGCAAATCAATGTTACCACATTCCAGTGCTGCACTATTGCCGTAAGCTCATATTGACTCCAAAATTATTGCCTTTAGCAAACATATACCATTGGCATCCTTTACGTTTTCTTCTCATTTCTATACGCTGGCTTTGCGAAAGTGCGACTTACCCAACGGCATAATCACGAGATGCGGAATCGAATGGCAGTCAACCTGCTTCCATTTGGCGTTCTGCTGATTTTAATTTATCTCAGCGCGTGCATCTGGCACTTATATTTGGCTGGTTATGTACTCGCCGATGCTAGCAAGGTAGGAATCGTAGTCAATGCGTGGGTACCCGTAACAGTTACTCCACGTGGATTAGTGTCGCGTGTCATCGGAAGCGCGAAAATATTTTCCTTATCAGATCTGCGAAGCCGATCCGATGCTATGCAATCAACCACCGACATTTCTCATTATAATACCGGGGTATATGTACGCACTCATATGCGGCTTGGCCTTCTGCATCATTTCCATATTCTTCGGATATCTATGGGTTCTTCGTGCCTTCGTGAAAGAAGCCAACAACATTCCGCTGTCGACGAAAACGCGACAAATGATGGATGTATTTGAGAGAGTATTCCATTTCCAGGTATTTTTTTCTTACTATGGTTTCATTCCCATTAAGCTGCTGAGTCTCGGCTTGCTATTTGGACTTCCGTTCTGCACAAATATCTTATTATTCTTTGGAGTGGGCGAAAATCAGTTCATCTTTATTGGTTGGTGACTTGGATGATATCTTAAGCGTTTTTTTCAGTCGCGGGGCTATGTCCATTAACAGCTTGCTTGCATTCTTCCTCAAATAGCTTATCGATTATCGTTCCTATATTCCCGAGTACGTGGAAGCGGTTACGGCGGCAGATGCAAGGGAAGCGTGTGTCTGACGCGGAACGGATCGCCGCTGTATCCGGCCAAGTTTCTTCGTCCACTAGGATGCAAATCAACCGAAAACATCACTCGATACGGGCTGTCGTGATTGCCCAGAAATGTTGCGAGTAATAAATCAGCTTCGATACAGAAGTGGAAGCGAAAATACCATTGACACACTTGTAACGTTCAGCCCCGGATCAAGAAGCTGACATAACGAAGTTATAAAATACCCTGCGTTTTTCAATCCATTCGACGCGTTGGCTGCTTGTGTCTAAATCGGGACCTAATGTGCACGCCCAGAATTTGCGGCAATAAGGGCCTAAGCGACGCGACGCTCCATTCGTCAAGAAAATGTATGGGGCCAAAACTTTGTAGCCCTATAACTTTAAAACTAAATGGAATTTTAAAAAGAGCGATTTCCAACTTTGTAGAATGAGAAAAGGCGATTCCAATGCTACCAAGCACTACGAAAACTGAATTCAAAAAGTATCGAAACGAAGGCGGTTTTGGTTGGCGACTTTGTGAAAAGTGGGATTTCGGAGGGCTAACTTGCTGTCTTTGGTATCATTCGAACCGTAAAATCCTACTCTGCAATAATTGATATTGGGTTTTCAATATTAAGTCGGTTTGAAAAAGTTATAAGAGTTTAAACTTTTTGGCGCCCGCTACGTTCCGCTCCTATCGACGCTTTTGCCCCTCCCGGCACATTGCCGTTTTTGGCCTGTTTGATTGGCCGTGTGTGGGAACGCGCCTGAATTCCGTGAACGCACCCGGATAGGATATGCCAGATCGATCCGGCTTTTCCGTAGGGCGCCCTCCCGCGCAGAGGCCAGCAGCTGCAAAGGAATTCTTTCGCTTTCCGGAAGTCCAAGCCACTCTGGATGAAATGTTCAACCCCGATGCTGATACCATCGATAAAATATGTCTGGCCTACGATATTTTGTGGTGTATTGGTACTTGTTTATTCGCCCTGGCTGGATTACTGATAATCAATCACCCTGATGCTAACAAACGCTACAAGATTTTGCTGATCAATATAATAGTCAGTTAGAGCGCAAACAATAATTTTTTTCTGGTAGTTGGCGTGCCAAACTGCCGATACAGCGGCTACACTGGCAAAGATGATAATTCCGGCGCCGTTGATAGCGGTGCGATTTCTGAAGCTAGAGGTTCACCTATACATTTACACATTGATTATCGTAAGTCTGCTTAAGGAAAAAGACGTAAAGTGACTGGTACCTTAGGGTCAATAATTTCCTATATTGAGACCTCTAGAACGTCTACGGAATGTGCGTCGTTTGCTCTGCTGTACTACTGCTCCATTCCGGCATCACCAAGTCCGACATTAGTCAACGTCATTCACTCGTTGGCTACAGACGTTGCATCCTGCCCGGTGTCGCTGTTTTTTGTGGTTTTTATCTATCGGCGAGTCTCTGGGACCTTTATGCCATCGGTGGGATGGTTCTGGACCCGGCAGAGGTATCGAGTTTTCTGGACGATCTTTTTTCACCAAGTTCCCCATTTGCGAAGATTCATTTTATCGTTCCCCTAGAAAAAATGGGATGACGATTTTTTGCCCATTTTCAGTCGTTTTTGGGTGTGTCTGCCACTTTTCAGAAACTGGTTTCCCAAAAAAAATATTCTTTATGAAGCTATGGCTTTTCGAAAACAAGGCTTTTCAAAAGTTTTTTTCGGAGCCATGATTTTCGAAAATACGATTTTCCAAACAAGATATTCCGAAAATCATATCATATTTTCAGATCTGTCGTCTGGAACCCGTACTGTGCAACCAGGTGGGAGTGATTGCACTACGTTTCCCGTTTCATATATATTGTTTGATCTATGGATTTGGGGTAGTGTTGATAGCCATTGCACTCGGCTACGCTTGGGCTATCCACGCGCTTCGTGCACGCGTCCCCAAAAACATCTCGACCAAAACTATGAAAATCCTTCGGGTCTATGATTTGATTTTCTTGCTGCAGGTAATCGCTCGATGCTTCTCTAGAATATGTTCTTTTAGACAGCGGCCTTTGTTTGTGTATTTTTCATGCCTTTCGCTGTAAACCTGCTATGGGTGTCGGGGCTCATCCAGAATGAAGCGATATATTTCGGTAAGCGGATGTGTGCAACGTCATTAAATGGGAATTTAGTGGGTGGGATGTGCCCATTTACGGCTTGCATGCATTCAACTACCAACAGTCTGTCCATTATAATACCAATGTTTCCTGGAAATTGGCGACACGTGAGGGCGCAGCTGCAAAAAGTTAGAGCCATCGGTCCGTCGGATCCTTCTTCTCTCCCTAAATAACGAAGTAGAGCATGTAGTGAGAAGTCTCCCTCGGTGTAGTTGTAAATCGGTAACCGACGTTAATCCTCAATGTTTAATAAAGCCGCCAGGTGGTTATCCCACCTGGATGCCTTTTCATTTAGGCCAGAAATTTCTGAAAACCATAAAGCGAATTAACTGGGGCCAACATAAAACCTTAAAAAAGGTTCTAAGCGCTTGCACGCTTGGCCACCGTATAGACCACACTTGTACTAGACGTACTAGGCACGAACTAGGGCCCCGTTGCACTAGGGCCCATTCTAAATGGCGCGTGTCCACTAACTTTTTACGAACGAGTGCAGATGAGGCCCCGGAGTCCGCACGCGATGGCCATTCTTAGACTCCAAGAGTGGTCAGTTGTTTTTCACGCGTGTGACCGCTGGCTGTCCTTCATTTCCCGGGCTGCACTACTTTTCAAAAAAATCCTGAAAGACCCGAATCTGGCGTATACAATTCTGTAAGACATCATTGAACTCTTAACTACAAGCGGCCATTGTTTTCATCCAGCCACAGGTGCGAAAAATTAAGTTTCATAAATTCACCTGCTGATTCCCGACCGCTTTTTCTACCATAGGCATTTGGCGCCGGTTTCCTAACAATAAGTTCTCTGAATAAATGTTCAATCCTGATGAGGCTCAAATCCGGCTGATATGCATTGCATATAATATTTCGTGGACGCTGACCACGGCATTTTTCATCGTTGCCGTCTATTTGACCGCGACACATCCGGCCGCGACAACCTACTATAAGGTTGTGCAAATGAACCTCTTGGTAAAGCTCAAGAAAACTCATTTACCCATGTTTTAGTGCGCTTGCGAAGCGACCGATACGCTCGTTTCAAGCATCAAAATTATTGGCCTCTCCCCACCATTGGGTTAAGATTTTTAGCGGGCGATTTTTCGGTGAATTTCCGGGTGCTGTCCTTGGTAAGGCGGAAAAACTAGCTAAAATTTTTGCAGGTAATTTACTTTCTTCTGATGTCCTACATCGTGTGTTCATTCCTATATACCGGAGTGTCTAAGCAAAAAATTACTAGAGGAAAGTATGCCACGTTCTTCTACCGAGTTGCGCGTGGCTACTTGGTGTTCCTATTTTCCATTCTGGCTATCATGATATATTTTATGTTCTCGAGTCTCTATTTTGAGAATCGATTTTTGGCCGAGGCGTTCGCGGTTTGTGTTTTTGGAAAGTCGAAGTTTTCGAGCGTAGCATACTTTAAGATTTGCCCAATCGAACCGAGCCTTTGCCATGTCGAAAAGGCATTTTATGTGTGGCCAAATGCGACAATGGTTTCGCTCTTTATCGTCATCACATTTTTTGCGGTTTTGACGGCTATACTTTACGTCACACTTGTTGCTTCCGTTATCAAAGATTGCTTTTGGCAACATCAGCTTTCTAGTTCGGCCAAGACGCAGAATATGATCAAGACATTTGGGAAAATCTTCCTGTTTCAGGTTTAGTTGGCCTTCGATGGAAAAAGGTTATGTTAAGTCCGCATCCGCGCTTCTAGTCGTGACATTTACATTTGCCGTAAATTTTCTTTGGGTTTATAAGCTCTCGGAATCAGATGTTGTTTATGCTCGTATGGATTTTAGTTAATATCCCCAACACCAAGTTCTTCAGTTGGTGGTCTCTGCCCATTAACCGCTTGTTTTCACTCGATTCTTAATTGTTTATCGATTATTGTTGGGACGAAGAGCTCGTTGAGCAGGTTAAAGGCAATATTCTCCTTCCAGAAGAGGCGGATGGTATGGGTTAAGACCGTTACGTTCCTGCTATGTAGATTTTAGGCACCTTCAATCCTAATTTTGTCATCAATAAGGAATCGTTCTGCTCCGGAATAAATATAGTATTTGGCCGGGATGAATTAGTGATCATGAATGCTTAATATATTTTATAGCAATATTTAATTGTAAAAATGACGCAACAAATTGGAAAAATTTTTGATTTTTAGGTATGATCTAGGAGAATGACCAAAGACATCTTAAATACTTTTTACAGCTTCCTAGCAATAAAAAAGCACTAAAAACACAACAAAACTGCAGTATATTTTATGAACAGGTGGCAAAAAGAGCTAGTGAGCTTCCCCGACCTACTATTCCGATACCAGATTTTCGCCAAACACGCCCGATTCAGGTAGCTTTCCAGGACCAAAAGCAGCATCCGGCTGCTATAGGTTCCTACATGAAGCGGATCCAACCGCCCGACCAATGTTTATTCATTAGCACCACAAATAATAGCGTCTACCATATGTGTGTGCCTGCGCTCTCAAGGCGCCTCAAGCCGTGTACACGCCACCCCGTACAAAGGGTTCAATGGGAATTCCGTGTTCAAATCGAGGGGTTCCAAGGTCTCCTCAAGCTTCACATGGGCGCTAGTCTCGAACCAGGGGGTTGCGGGGAGGCAAATTATCTGTTTGTCCGTGGCCCTCCACATTGTGTACCCAACCGTCATTACGTGGAATGTGCCATCGCACCACTTTTCTTCGCTTTCTCGGGGTTGCTCTACAGCGATGGGAGTAGCCATATGTGTTTTCTCTGGAGGTACCGATCCGGTGGGATCAATTCCGTTTTCGAGTGAGGAGGCTGCTAGTGGCCAATAGGGCTACTTTGAGTGATGTTTGATGAAATTACTTGGGTCGTCGTTACGGTTGGAGTAGAAGGATTGTAACTTTTTTGGATTTGGCTTATTAAATCTTTTCTAACCAATCTTTCGCTCTCTCTCTCTCTGCCTCTCTCTCTCCCTTCCTTATTTTGTTTTCTTTGATTCTTGGCGACCAGCACGCGCGTTTTCCATCCTTAAAGTCGGCACATCGGTAATTTTGTGACGTTATCGTTACAAAATTCCGACCCCAGTCTCTTCCCCAAGTCGCCTTCCTAAATTTCATCTTTCACTCCTCCCGCAGCCACCATTGTCCGCGCTCGGAATCGAATTCGCCGAGACGGACCCGAGCGGGGAACATGGCCCCCGAAACTGAGCCCCGCCGAGGGCACAGGAAATGCTCCGGAAAATGTTCTGCAAAAGACGGAGGAGCGGAGCAAACGGGACCAGCCTCCAGCCTTCATACTCCCCTAGAGCGCTCTTTTTCCACAAATGGATCTAGCCTGGCCCACACACACAGGGCGCCACAAATCCAATTTATTTCCGTAGTGAAGGGGTAGTTGGAAAGGGGGAAATGGCCGACCGCCACAACCCAGGTTGTTTTTGGGGGAATTTTTGCGTGGCTGAAGGTAGTATTTGTACAGCCTTAAGTCTCGCTTTATCCACAGTATCCGTGAGTCGTTCCAATCTTTAAATTAATCTCCCCAGGGCTTTCAAACGAACTTTCCCTCCTCAACGAACCCTAAATGCCAACCCTTTTTAGGGAAAGCTACTCAACCAAGCCCACCCATTCTTTGTAACTACCCCCTAATGGACTATTGGCTTCAACTTGGGGGGCCAGAGGGCAATCAGACAAAACTTCTTGGGCCACGAGACAAGCGAATTCTAGCGGCCTTGTGGTGGTGGCAGTAGCGTGGAGTAGGGCTGGGGCTAATGGGCCTTCCCTTCCAGATCCCTTTAGTGGCCCTCCTCCTCCTCCTTCTCCTCCAAAGTGAGCCCCTCCTTCTGGCCCTCACTCCCCCTCACTGCCCTATACGAGGATTAGGGGTATTCCCCCAATTATGGGTGGCCCCGGCCGGGCAGCCTTTATGCAAATCCCTGCTGTGGAGAAGGGTCGTTTACCCGGATTTGCACCTTCCGGCTGGTTAGAAAATGACTATGGGCTGTCTGTTGGTTTTAGACTAATTTTTTCCTCTATTCAAAAATGGATTTTTGCATAGTTTTCGTGCTGTTTTAGGTTGTATTCCGTCGGAAAAAAACTGAGCTTTAACGTAACGTTCGATGCTGACTACTAAAGCAACCAAAACCATGCCGTCCCTCCCATCCAGCCGATCTATCAACCACTTTTTGAGGTGTTTTCCCGGGGCCCTGTGGGGCCGATCGGTCTCCTCATGGCCCGCATCCATCGAATTCCTTTTGTTCCGGCCCGCCATTTGACATAGTGGCCTGGACAAGGGGGCTGGATGGCGCTGCTGATGTGTAAAGTCCATCAAATCCACGCAAAAAAACCGTGGAATGGCCGATTTGGAGCGAGTGGGGTAATTGCCGGGAGGCTCCTTGCCTACTTCACCTGCTTGTAACTGGACCTGGAAAATAGATATTTTCGGGCCGGAAATACCAGCGGTTTTGTTAAGATCTTGACTTACACTTTTGTTAGTTTTGTGATTTTGTTTAAAAATTAATGCGACAGTTTTAAATTCAGGTTTAAATATCGCAATTTGCACAGTTTTGCACAATTTTTCTAGCTTTACTCAACGTGTGTTTTTCGTATTAATGCACAAATATAGACGATACCTTCCGAAAAACTCCATTTTCCTCCCGAAATGGAGCTAGATTCAAAAATAAAATTTCCAATCACGTCCAAACAAATTTTGTTTTCCCCGCCGTACCCAAGGCCCCGAAAATATTGCCACCCCACGACTTCCGGTTTCAAATTCACCTCACTTTGCAAAAATCCAAGGAAAAGCCGATTTCCCCTTCCCCTCCCTGTGAAAAGCCACAGAGGACTGATTCGCGGTCCCGATAAGCCGTTGTCAGTTTTTCACGGCTCGTTTTTCCCCGCCGGCTCGCCTCGAAAATCGGTACGACCCGTGGCGACATTGCGAGGCAGCAGGGGACGGGGCTTTTTCGGTATTTTGACCGGTGACCCGCTGATTCGCACGGGGTTCTTTTTTCCGTTTTTTTGCCCAGTTCCCCTGGTGGTGGTTGATTGCTGGATGCCATTTGTCTTTCTTGCGGGTTCTTTTGGGGGACGGGTTGGGGGGGATGGCTGATGAATTCGCCGAGATGAATTACTTTGGCTTTCAACGGGCTTAGAAGGTCGCTAAAACATCCTTAGAAATACAATAAAAGATACGGACTTTTGTTACTAAGCTTCGGTTTTAATGGTTTAAGAAAGCGGTAATGCTTAGAGCTTTTGAGGCAGAGATTACCGGTTATACTCTTAAGGCATTTCATTGGTGTATAATTGATCTGAATATGTAAATGTGTATATTTCATTTTTATTTTGAACTACATTTAAGATATTTTGCTATCCTCCAGCTCGAATCCATCTCATCGACCCACCCACTGAACGCACCATAATTGGATCCGAACCCACCCTTGACTCTCAGCCGCCGTGACTCCTGATTGTTTACTTCCGCCGCAGCCACCAAATTATGAGCTTCTAGGTCTCAGCTTGCGATGATGATAGCCACCTTCTAAAACCTTTAACGTATCTACACTTTTTACTCACTTTACTTTACTTTCTACTCCTCACCTTTCAACCACCTCAACCCATTTTTTGCCCCTAAGACCCAGCCGTTCGCCCTGCTGACCTTGGCCAGCTGATAGCAGAGAAAGTGTGGCCCCTCCTCTTTTCTATGTTCGTCAAGAGTATCGGTCTGTCCTATCCAGCCCTCGCTGTGGGTAATTGTGGGTTAGGTGTCATCCACCCCGCGGGTCGAAGCGATCTCCCCCGCCGGTGGCTACCACTTCGGCTCTATTGATTTGGGGTTGGCTTTTTCGGGAAGGTCAACTGAGGGTGGCAATTTGTAGAAATCCAAGATTCCAAGCTGACTTTCAGAAATATATTTCATAAGAAATATATTTCTAATTAAAATAAATAATATTTCTCAGATTTCCATTCGATAATTTTTAGATACCTTACGCCTACGTTAGATATCAACCTATGCTTTCTCCCCCAAAACCAATCACTGATCCCACAGGCAGGTGATCCAGAAAAACTCGCAATTCCCCTTCGAGACAGTCCAATCTTTCCCGTTCCCCCCAATCAA